CTCGTTCACATACATATTCAATCATTTAAGGTAAAAAGTGCTAGCGTTTTCTTTCATTTGTTCAACATTGTTTAAACCTTTTCAGGATGAATCTGAAGAGAAGCTAAACAGCTCTATAAAAATGCTTTCAAATTTAGAGGAAAACATCAACCAAATGCTCAGGCGAAACTTGTCANTTTAAACCTTTTCAGGATGAATCTGAAGAGAAGCTAAACAGCTCTATAAAAATGCTTTCAAATTTAGAGGAAAACATCAACCAAATGCTCAGGCGAAACTTGTCACTGAATAAAGAATAAATTGTAGTTAGTCATCTACACACAAAATATTCAAATGATTTACTTTGTTGTTAGTTTGTCAGCCTTGCATCAATGCTTAGTGTGACACATATTACTTGTAGATTTAGTAATAAATCATTATCATTCAAAGTTCTAAAATGAGGCGTGTCGCCAGATTTAGAACACTTCACTGCTCTCAATGGGCACAAAAAGCAAGCACGACAGTACAACAGTCATCATTTGAATTTGAAGTGTGACTTGCGCTAAACTACTGCAAACAAGCTCAAGCTAAAAGCAACTTCTACCTGCGACCAACTTTTCAGCTTTTCTTGTAACCCATCAACTCTTGATCATCCTCAGTTAGGATCAGATCATCATCGATGGCTCGCTCGAAGTCAAGCAGTGGTCGCCGTGGTGGCAACCGTCGTCGTGGCCGTCGTGGCAGCTCCAGCTCTGCCTCGTCCGCTTACCAGGACGGCTATGAGGGGGAAACCGAAGAACAGCTGCTGGAGAAGCCTCGTCGCTACCAGACCCCGTACACCGCCTTTGTGAAGTCCTCCTGGGCTGAGCACCGCACCGCCAACCCGGAGACCAAGTTCGACAAGGAGACCTTCAAGGCCTTCACCGCCAGCATCGTCGCCAAGTGGAAGGGCATGAGCGAGGAGGAGAAGCTGCCCTTTGAAGAGAAGTCTGCTGTGGAGCGCGCCCGCTACCAGGAGCTGATGGTCGCCTACAAGGCGCAGCAGCTGGAGCTGAAAAAGAACACCCCGAAGCGCCCGCTCGGCTCGTACATGCTCTTCGCCGCTGACGAGCGCGAGAAGGTCCGCGAGGAGCTGGGCGGCTCTGCCGCTAAGGTGGTGGACATCGCCAAGGAGCTGGGCCGTCGCTGGGTGGCCCTCGATGCTGTTCGCAAGGAGGAGTACAAGGCGAAGGCTGCCCTGGCTCGAGCCGAGTACTACGGGGCACGTGACGTGGCTGGCTCCTCCGAGAACGAGCAGGAAGATGAGGGGCAGTTGAGCTCTTACAGCGAGGAAGAGGAGGAGGCTCAGGTGGAAGGGAAGAAGAAGAGCAGTGATGGCAGTCGCCGTTCACTCTCTTCCAACTCGTACTCCTACTCTTCTGGCGAGTCCAGCGAGTACAGTGAGGACGATGAGGACTACTGAGTGTGGATACCTCACCATCTCACCCCTCACCACCACACTGCCACTGCACAAAACAGTGCCCTTCTAATCTGTGGCAGTTTTTGTTTTTAAACTCCCAAATTACCAGTTTTTGGTATTTATTATTTGTATTTATAAAAATTTAACTTTTTTACTCGTTGTCTTAACACATTTTAAGCAGCCACTGGATGCTTCGCTCACAAAAAAGGCAGAGGAAAAGATTGAGTAGTGAGGCGACCAGTCTGGGAAGACCATTCTTCCGACCAGAAGAGGGAAGAGAGGTCGATGTGTGACAGTGTACTGCAGAAAATGGCAACATTTTGTAGCACTGATAAAGTTATTGGTCTGACTTGCAGTTAAAAATGGGTTTGTTTTTAAAATAACACAAAGCCACAAAATAAAGTCAACTTCCTGCAATGGGCTGATTTTTTGGTACAATGGCTAAAGCGTATTCATCCCGATTCTTGGTGGTTCAGAAAATTGAACGGGAAAATGTGAAGTGAATAGCTACCAGCTTGTTTTCAAAAAAAGATGCAAAGTAGAAATTAGTTGACTCATTGAGCAGTTTGTGCTGTCTTCTTTTACAGCTCAGCTAAGCACTAGTAACTTAAGGACAAAAAAGGACAAATGAACAATGATTTGTTCTTCCTTTCACAAAGTTAGTTGTGTAGCCATCTGCACATCACTGACACAAAGTTGTAAATGAGTTTAGTTAACGTTTTATCTACATTCTTTTACCCAGATTCTGTAATTATCTCAATGTTTTATCAATTCTTATGACCAGAACAACTGGCCACTTCTATTGGTTAGAAGGCGAAAGTTGCAAGTCACTACTACCATCACGCAACACTCTACGATCATGATCAACTACCACCACCGTACAGTTGTACACTCTCCTCACTCTCTCAACTGCCGTCAGTGGTCGAGTGTGACTGGCAAAAAAACTGCAGTTGCAACGCCGTTGCAATGCCTCACTCTATCCGTTGAGTGTTGCAGTCCATCTCGAAGCTACTAGCAGCTTCTGGTTGCAGGAGGACAGCGCTATTTAAGCGACAGGCTGCACACTGGCAGATCACCACTCGCAATCCTGACGACCACTGCTGCACTACAGACTACAAGCAACGACACTTGAAAGCAATTTTTTTATATCAGTGCTATTTTACTTTAAAAAGGATAAATTTCGACACCCGCTACAAACTGCTGAATAATGATTCCCAAGCAAGAACCAACACTCATGGACGTGATCGCCAACTGTCTGATGGATCTTGAGGGCGCTTTTGCCGAGGCGCAGTCCAAACAATCGTCTTCCTCGTCGCCCCCTCAAGCAGGCTTTTCCGGCTGGACTGGACCACTCTTTGGTGGTTATCAGTATCCCGCAAAAGGGTGCAAATCATCGGACAGAAAGAACCACTGTCCCTTCAACCAGTACTCTACTAACAAAACGGACACCACCACCTCTGCTGCCCCTTCTGCTTCTGACCACTTCTCCGCCACCTTTGACGTCAGTGCCTTTGACCCGTCAAATGTCTCAGTCAAAGTTGATGATGAGGCCAACAGTGTGGAGGTGCACGCAAAGGAGGAAAAGACTGCTGCGGATGGAACCTACGAGAGCAGAGAGTACCGCAAGAAAGTGCCCCTGCCTGAAACAGTGCTCACTGCACAGCTAAAGTGCACCCTCGATCGAAACGGTCAGCTGCAGGTGGTGGCACCGCTCAAGAAAAAGAAGGAGGATGAGGCGGAAAACAAGGAGAGAGTCATTCCGGTACAGTTTGTCAACAGCAAGAAGACAGCCCAAGAGGAGGAAAAGGAAAAGAATGAAGAACAAGCAAAGGAGACTGACGCTACCGTCGAGGACCTCGGCACTGACTAGACAGCAGCGCATCTCCGCTTTTATTTATCCCAAAATTACTGTTTGCTGGGGACATACTCTAAATATGTATCTTTTAAATTTGTTATCTTTAGAATCAATAAAGTACAATACTTGAACTGAAAGTGACTACTGCTTACTGTGACTGCTTACTGTGCTTGTGTCAGCGATAGTCATCTCGAATGATGGCACTGATGGAGTGCACCAATGTTTGAACTGCACTAATATGTTCATCAGTTGACGGACTGTTTTGCAATCTTTTCCCTCTCTACAGAGCCGGTTTTGGGTCGGCTGAGCACGTAAACTTATGACGGTTCTCAATGCATAACAGGCTTATTTGGTTTCGCGCCATGAGTGTTAGAACTCAACGTAATTAGACGACACAAAATCGGCGCTTCTCCCCTCTCCTCATTATAACGGTTCGAAAGCCATTAATGAAATAGCAAGTGGGGGATAGAAGCTCATTTGGAGTACAGAACAACAGCAGTAGTTGTGGCTGCGAGATTTCTCCAAACGGCAACTTCATGAGCGTATCCCCAAAAGCGTTCTTCTGCTACTCACTCGGTGATTTGCCTCTGTCTCCTTCACTTGCCTCACGCTTCTCAACCTCGACACCAAAAATGTTGATCTTCGGTGAAACTAATCTCTTGGAGTATGCGATTACCTTCTTCAATCCCAGCAATCTGCTGCGCAAACAAACGCTCACGCCCTCTGAGTCTTTCAGTGGATGGCTCTTTCGTTACCTGCTGTTGCGAGTGCATATGGCTCTGGCCGGCGGATACGTTTTGCTGTTGGTTTTCTTAAAAAGTGACATCAGCTGCATGCACAATACTGAAATCAAGGACGAGCTGATTAATGAAATGTGCCGTCTCAATTACACCTACATCATTCGTTTTCCGGTGCTGGAGCCATTCGGGAAAAGTTCTGCCAACTGGCGTCGCTTTCCTTCTGCCTTCAAACAGGTTCTTAGACAGGAGACAGCTGGTTCAGAAAGAGAGTACTTCTACTACTACCCCTTTGTCCTTTTCATTCTCGCTGTTCTGGTAAGCGGTATTCAAGAACTACTGCTTGATAACATTTCTAAAAGTTTTTTTTTGCAGATTTGCATTAACTTTGCTGCAAACTGGCTTGCTTTGATCCATAGCTGGTGCCAGAAGTACAGCTTTAAAGGCTACGAGTTAGAGGACGCAAAGAAGGTGAACAAGGAAGTGTACCGCTTCTACCTTCTTTGTGTACATGTAAAGGAAACCATGAATGACCCACTGAAAAAATGGACCCTTCTCCTGTGCCATCTCTTTGTTGACCTGTCATCAGTTATTGGCATACTGGTGGCAATGCTTTTTCTCGATTGGGTTTTGGCTGGAAAGTACCTTTTTCTCGGAGTAAGCCTTCTTAAGCAGCAGTTTGGCGCATCAGCTAACAACAACGAAGTCGGAGACTTAAACTATGTAAACTGTCTTGACACTCCAATTTCACAGTTGTACTTACCCTGCTCACTATTTTTTGCTCTAGATCTTCCCGTCGCTCTCCAAATGTTCAACCATGCACATGTCCCCTTCTAGCCAAGAGTTTCCGGTGGATAGTTTTTGTTTGTTGAAGAACAACTACTTCAATCGAGTGATCTTCAGCTTTCTCTGGTTCGCCTACGCTGGCCTGCTCATTACCTTCACTGTCCGTTTTCTGATCAAGCTGCTCGTTGCCGTCTGTGGCTTTGTTCAAGACAAATGGATCATCGTTAAGCTCGGAATTGTCCAAAACAACAACTTTCGTGGTCTCTCCTTTGTAAAGTACACCATCCTGAACAGTGTAAGTTAAATTTTGCTTATGTTATAACAAAAAATTACTCGTGTTCTCTTGATTTCAGGTGATTGCTTGCGAAGAGGATCAAGCAGTGATTGTTTTGATGGCTGCTTTATTGAACAACAAGAAGTTTAATGATTGGGTGAAATCAGACAATGATGCTAACTTTCCCATTTCCAATGAAATTTTTGAACAAACTATTCAGCTGTTGGAAAAGCGTTTTTGAAATATTCTGATGTGAAAAAGACAACAATGCTATCTGTTTAAGCAACCCTTTGCAAGGCATTTCTTTGCCCTCCTCTTCTCGCAAAGCTCGAGGCCACTATCGCCGCCATCGCCACAGAAGCAGCAAAAGAAGCAAAGAGCAAAGTAGCAAAAAGTAGAGACACGTTTTTCTTTCTCACAATACATCTTACCATTTATAACATAATGTACCGTGCATTCGAAAAGTTTGTACACTTTAGAGAGAAAAAGTTTTGTTACCAAAAAATTAAAAGTCGCAAGTTTGTAATTGCCTTTTTCTTGTTTTCTACTAACCTACTGTACAAGTGTTGCCGTGAAACTACAAGATATCTGCAAAAAGATAACGCCATATCTTTCTAAGGAATCGCTGCACTGCTGATCTTGTTTAGTGGTAAAGGCAGCTAAAGAAGGCATTTGACACTTAATGTAAGTCGTAGTCATAACTCTTGTTCCCCTGCAGAGAAAACGACAAAATTAACGTATTCTTTGTTCTCAGTGTCCCCAATGTCTTCTGCAAAATCATCAAGCACTTCGAAAATACTTGCCAATGTTGGCTTTGAGACAGTGCACTTTGACTATGAAGTGTCCTTTGAGCGGTTCAAAACTTTAACTGAAACTTGTGTAGCCACCAAAGAATTCAGCCCACCTGGTCGGCAATCTCCTGTTTTAGCACTGCGACTTTACCCAAATAATGATAATCGAATCCTGATTAATCTATTTGTGAAGGAATCAAACAGTAGTTTTATTTGCAGTACATCAAGTTGGCTGCTGAAAAAGAGCGGAGACATTTATATGAATCAGGGTAATGAGGCTGATTACTGAGAAATCTGAATCAAACCTCTAATATTTGAAGCTTTATAATTTAGAATTTAAGTCGCAGAACTTTGTGCAAAATGATGACAAAACTATATACACTGAAGAACGAGCAAACGTAGTCAACGAAGAAAATGGTCTGCTTCCCGAAGGAATTCTCACGTTTTATTGCGAGGTAAAAGAACAGTTTGCTTATATCGGCATCAATCAGCTAATTGTCATTTGATTGTTCACAGATAACTCTCGAACTGGCAACTGCTTCCCAGAAGGTGACCATTTC